TCGAAGGCGGTTGATCGGCGTGCATGGCGCGATCTAATCACGAAGGCAGTTGCTGAAGTGCGGGAGAAAGCCCTCATGCATGCAGAGAAGAAGCGGCAGTTGCGGAAGCGGCAAGCACCGATGAATTGTACTCCATCGACATCGAGCGCATGGTGCTGTAGAACATGCGGTCGCGAGTGCCTTAGTCAGGCAGGCCTAGTGAGCCATGAGAGAGGTCACTCGGGACCACTGCCGAAGCGACGACGGGTCCCGCAGTGAACGTAGGCAGCACCGGCGCAGCGTTTGTAGGCACGCTGAATTCGATTTACTAACCGCGTGCTTGCATGCTAAGTCTCTTTATTTCAGGTGGTGGGTTTACAGTTTTTACCTTAATGCTTTTCTTTCTCATATAAATATCTCCCTGTACTCTATTTCATTAACTTGCACACATCGCCTAAGCCAATTGTATTCGATTTCCATAACATTTTTGCGTTCGTGGCATTCCGTGAACTATACTTCCTGACCTCGTGCACTTAGCTAGGATTTGTTTGTAATCAACTTATTACATATGCTATTTAATTAAGGTTTATATCACCGTTTCCTTATGCATTAATCGAGTTTTTCTCTTTTTCTTTCTCTCTCTCAAGTGTTTGGCTGTTGTTTGATATCCCCTGTGTGGCTGCGCTTGATGTGCATGTTGACAAGGTGCCTACCTGTCTATTACCCACTACCTCGTCCATACTGGCTCCAGGAGACAGTTGGTCGTTGCTGGAGGGGACAGGGTGCACGGTCCTTGTGGCCGTGTTAGGATCAAAGAGTGGTTCCATGCACTCAGTGTGGAGCGGACTACGGTCCAGCCACCGCCTTGTGTGCGCTTGATTCCCAAATACAGCGTGCTTGTGTTTGCCTGTGAAGGAGTGTGGGCCGGCTCCGTTGATGAAACGTGGTTCCCATCCGCATGCCTCCCGGTCTTATTCCTTCGGGTTTACACTGGATATGGGGTGTGTGGTTGGAGCTGTGGGTGGTGCAGCGCAAGCCATCCATGGTCCCTCTGTAGGCGCAGGCGTCCTGTGGCTTGCCACAGTGACAGGCAAATCCGAAACCGGATGCCGCCAACCAAGATATATATATATATATATATATATATATATATCGACGGGAGAGCCTATGGTGCACTGAGGCCGGTGTTGGTTAGATTTTGACAGATGGTCTACTCACTGCTGCTACTGTTGTGCCGTGGGCTCATGTTCTAGACGCCTCCTCGTGACGACCGCTGGGTGGGAGTTGGGTTACGCCCCACTCCTAGCTAAGAGCCAGGACGCTAATCAGAATGAATCAGTGAAATGACCATATGCTAGACCCGCTGCCTTTGGGGTGTACATTTAATCGAAGGCTTTGGCTGAGCACCCGAGTCGTTCTTCTGTCAGGTGTGCGCCTTGCCAGTAACCTAGTCCAAACCCTGTCATCTTCGGAGGTTAGGAAGTGGTCGATGGCCCTCTTCCCGTAAAACCTAGCCATAGGAGACAAGAGGTCTACGGGTTATAAGCTCACCGCTCAATTGGAGTAGAGCACGAGCGCCACGCATTGTCTCTGACGGTGGGAGGGCATCTCCGGGTGTTCAATGGTTTGTTACTGCCCGCCTCAACCCAGGCAGCCCCTGGTCAAATTGGTGCAAACCCGCCAAAACCCACCTGCATCTGACCGTGGTCGCAGGTGCGTATCCCACTACGGTCGCAAAACATATAGGAATTGTTCTAGATCTCCAAAAGCTGGGTGTGGCGGACCTCAAGCAGATCCCAATCAGTCTCTGCAATCGCATTCCCGAGATGGATCTGTTCACCCCTGCCTTGTGGGTTAGGCTACTGAGTCAAAGGCTCCGGGCAGAGTCCCTCAAACAAACCTCCGAAGCATAACCACCACCTCGCGCACATTTGTCTACCAATGCAATCGTATGCCTGCGAGCAAAGCACTCAACATCGGATGCTGGAACCGGATGTCGCCAACCTATATATGGTTAGTGGCATCCGGTTTCGGATTTGCCTGTCACTGTGGCAAGCCACAGGACGACTGCGCCTACAAAGGGACCATGGGTGGTTTGCGTTGCACCACCCAAAGCTCCAACCACACACCCCATGTCCAGTGTAAACCCGAAGGAATAAGACCGGGAGGCATGTGGATGGGAGCCACGTTTCATCAACGGAGCCGGCCCACACTCCTTCACAGGCAAACACAAGCAGGCTGTATTTGGGAATCAAGCGCACACAAGGCGGTGGCTGGACCGTAGTCCGCTCCAAACCGAGTGCATGGAACCACTCTTTGATCCTAACACGGCCACAAGGACCGTGCACCCTGTCCCCTCCAGCAACGAACAACTGTCTCCAAGAGCCAGTATGGAGGAATTAGTGGGTAATAGACAGGTAGGCACCTTGTCAATATGCACATCAAGCGCAGCCACACCGGGGATATCAAGCAACAGCCAATCACTTGAGAAAAAGCTAACAAAGAAAAGAAATCGAGTAATGCATAAGGAAACGTGACAAAAATCTTAAATTAATGAGCATATGAAATAAGTTGTTAACAAAGGATCCAAGATAAGTTCAGGGGATCAGGAAGTATGTTTTACGGAAATGACACAAACGCGAAAATGTTATCGAAATTAACTACAATCGGCCTAAGCGAGTTGTGCAGGTTTATAGAAGAGCGTACAGGTGGACATTTATTTGAGAAAGAAAAGCATTAGGACAAAATGGAAAACCCACCACCTGAAATAAAGAAACTTAGCATGCAAGCACGTGGTTAGTAAATCGAATGCAGCGTACCTACAAACGCTGCACCGGTTCTGCCTACGTTCTCTGCAGGACCCGTCGTCGCTTCGGAAGGGGTCCGAGTGGCCTCGCTCATGGCTCACTAAGCCTGCCTGACTCAGGCACTCGCGACCGCATGTTCTACAGCACCATGCGCCTGATGTCGATGGAGAACAACCCATCGGTGCTTGCCGCTTCCGCAACTGCCGCTTCTTCTCTGCATGCATGAAAGCTCCCTCCCGCACTTCGGCAACTGCCTTCGTGATTTGATCGCGCCATGCACGCCGATCAACCGCCTTCGATTCCCATGATCTGCAATCAAGATTAGAACGTGTGAGGCTCACTTTAATCATGTCCTGGTAACGTAACTTTGCTTTCCCCACGTGCCGCTTCCCTATACTCAGCTGACCATATAAGAGTTGCTTCCGTATCCGCGTTGAATCCATACGGCTCACATTACCGATCCACCTCAGGTGTCTCAGCAAAAGTATGCAGTCCACTGCATACATCCACTACGGCGCAACACTTCCGTGTCTGCAACTCTGTCACCCCAACCGATGCGCAAAATCCGTCGCAAGCACTGCTGATGGAACCGCTCGAGATATCGCACATCCCGACGGTACATCGTCCACGTTTCACTGCCGTGTAGAAAAAAGGACAGCATCATGGATTTGTACACCATCAGCTTCGTGCCAATGGTAAGCTGATGGTTGTTCCACACTCGGTACTCAAGCTTCCCGAATGCCGCCGCTGCCTTCGACACGCGGATACGAAGCTCACTGTGCAGCTGCTGATCAGTCGACATCACACTCCCAAGGTAGCTGAAGCGGGAGGTGGTTTCCAATACTTCAGCACCAATGCTGATTCGCGGCAGTATTGAAGATTGCACCTCAGGTGAAGGCTGAAAGAGACAGACAGTTTTGCTTGTGTTGATGGTGAGCCCGAATTTGGCCGCTGTCGAAGCCAGAGCACAAGTCATGTGCTGCAACTCATCCGCGCTGTGTGAAAACAACGCACAGTCGTCAGTAAACAGCAACATACGGATAGTTGTCTCACAGACTAGAGTTCTCGCACCGAAACGACGGATGCTCAGCAACCCACCATCAATACGGTGCTCCACACGAACACCGTAAGCACAAGCGGCATCAAAAGCCCAGGACAACATTGCATGAAGATATATATTAAACAGGGCAGGAGCTAAGACACAGCCTTGCTTCACACTAGTGACAACTGTAAAGTCATCCGAGGTCTCTCCACTCAGCTGCACCCTCGCTCGCATACCACTGTGCAGACATTCAATTAAACTTACAAACTTACGCGGGCAACCAAACTTACCCAACACCGGCCACAATAGCTCGCGGTTCACCGTATCAAATGCCTTGGTCAAATCAACAAAAAGCGAGTACAATGGCTGGTGTCGTTCTCTACACTTCTCTTGCAACTGACGAGCCACAAACACCATATCTATAGTGCTGCGACCCGAACGGAATCCACACTGCTCTTCCGCCACGTTAGGTTCACAACCTGACTGACGAGGCGGTTGAGCAGGATTCGGGCAATCACCTTGCCCACACAACTCAGCAAGTTGATGCCACGATAATTCGTGCAACATTGCTTGCTCCCTTTGCCCTTGTACAGTGGTAGCACAAGGGCATCCTTCAACTCAGGAGGCACCTCCTCCTCAATCCACACGCGTTGCACCAAGTGGTGCAGCGCAGTCAACAACGCGGGTCCGCCGTGTTTCAATACTTCAGGCGGGATCCCGTCGGCTCCGGCACACTTGCCGTTTCGCAGCTAAGCAAGTGCTCTCTGCGTCTCATCCAGTGTCGGCGTGTCCGCCAGACTCGTCTTCACATCGTGCTGCTTCAGGCAGTTCAATGTAGGCCAGTTGATCTCTGAATGGTTGTTAAGAGACAGACAAAGTGTTTTCGCCAGATCTGCATTACGTCTGCAGTCTGTGTGCAGGTAGCGCCTGAACTACCATCGATCAGCGTCCTCCGAGGTTAACAACGTCTAACTAGATACCAAACAAAAAAGCGTAAGCGGATTTCAATAACAGCCGCTATTAAATTACCTATGTATCATGATGAATAACTGGGAGAACGAAACGATCAGACCAGAACTCATGGCACAAAAGTAAGCATGTTAAGATACCATGCAGTAACTAGGCTACATGATGAAATGTGGATAAGAAAATCTAAATGCCCGAATACATACTTGGGTTGAACGAAGTAGCCGATAAGTTCGGTTGAGTTTTCTGAAGTCGATCCAAGCCGGAAGCAGCGAAAGGTTGATCGAATGAAGTGCCAACACGCGAAAAACCGTGGGAACCCCCTGGGATAGAGGGACCTCCACTCTGGAACCTGGAAAGAGCCTCCAGCGTAGCAGTAGGAAGGTGATCAATACCAGTAGCATGTGGAACATTTGGACAAGAATCCTTTGGTCTTGCACCCTGGGAACAGCTTTGAGGGGCGCCACCTGAGGGCTTTGGAGTAGTTGATGCCGGTTTGGAATAAAGATCACCCATCTCTCTGCCTGTAAATATTTCAGTGTGAGAATACGGAATGCGACGAAGACAGGAATTCGTTCGCAGCGGATGGCTGAAAGATCTTCCAAAACAAATTGTCCCAGTCAGCCTTACAAACTGAGCGAAAGCTCTTAGTTGCGGTGGTACTTGTCCAAGCGACGAAACCGTGAGCTTTCGTGTTTAATACGTGAAGTAGGTCGTGCCAGATCGATGTGGCTGCAATGTAAAACAAATACGAGGTACGTTGTTGGATGAAATTACAACAACCACATAGAAATGGATACAGCTGGAAGGAAAGTGTGTCAACCTAACAGTAGGTAGGCATCTGGATACTGTTATCACGTGCCGAAAGGAGACCGAGCTTGAGATGAATGAACGGCAAAAATGAGTACACGACACGCTCGCTCTAGCATGCGCGTAAAACGAATGGAAAGGTGAACGAAATAGGAAACAACGACAGCTGCCAAAGCAAACCTCAAAAGTATTACCTCCTAGCTTGATACATAAACACATAGGTAGGAGTTTCGTTGGGTCAAGCAAGAGCCATAAAATGCTACGACGGGTTGCCTGTTTCATCGATCCACTTAACTACACTAAGTGTTGCTCACGGGCCCCTTGAGAGCTACTCCTAACAGGCTGATCAGTGGGTAAAAGTTGGACGAACTTAGCCATCTCATCCCTGACGCTCTGGGTTGGAAATGAGATGGTGTCCATTTCTGTGAAACCAAATCGTTGCCACCCCCACTGCCTTGCGGAGAGGCCTTCGAGGACACTAATCGTTCTCCGGCCTAGGTCTGGACGCTCTGGCAGTATATCAGCCCACGTACAACCATGACTGTTTCCTCGAACTTTAACTACATCCTGCATCATCCAACGCGCAACTTATTAATGGTCGCCTCATCTGCTGCGTGCAGCAGGGCGAATAAACGAAATCATGCTGCTGCTGGTGCCTCCTTTCTTCTATACCTGTTTCTTACTCTCTCCGGACCCAATTACTAATCCTACTCATATAATTCCCAGCTTAATTGACAGCAGCCGCAATACCAGTGTAGTCCGACTATCTGCAGATATTTGAGGCACTGCAGATATCTTCCAGCACCACTCACTGGACCCTAATTGCTAGTAGCCCCCTAAATAGCCACATTGTTCCGTTTCGCGGCGGCGTTCAATGCCCACCCTCTAACACAGATGAGCTAAAAGGCTGCATTCGCACGCACGTTTGACATCCTAGGTAGTGACATGTGTTGCATGACCGTAACTAGGATAAATGATCCTCACGAGGTTGATGAATTAACTACGCCTGGATTGTCCACTCGCTATTGGTTGCACGCATCCAGAGACGCATCCAGGCAACCACTGGTCAAGCTGGGGTGGGCATCAGTCTCAACTCCAAGACTGAGCCATAGATTGTTGATGGGATTCCCGTAAGCAGTCATTTGTGTGCAGTCTGTTTAGCGACATCAACTAAGGTTGATTCACGAAGTGGCACTAAACACACTGATTTCCGTTTATGTCTCAACCGACTGCAGCTTTGATGCAGTCAAGGATGCTTTCAACCATGTATTGAACACGCAACTTCCCAGTATAACCAGCACATATATCGTTTTGGTTTTGAATGTGCAAGTAAGTCGTCCGGGCCCTTCAGAAGCTCAGCAACGTAATAAGTATGAACTTAAATCCCACTAGACGGACGGGTTCGGTATATCGATGTGTCCTTTGGGACAGTCTGCTCAGAAAAGGTGTGCCCGACAAATGCCATAAGAGTGCTGTACGCGCATAATGCGGGCAGTGTGAAGATCTATGACAAACTGACTCCGCCCTTTAATAGCCCCAGCGATGTGAGACAAGGTTGTCTGCTGTAACCTTGCCACTTTAATTTCGCAATGGAAAAGGTGTTCAGTGGACACAAGCAACAAGATGTGGAGTTGCTTCCAGGTGAATGAGTTCTTGACTTGGAGTATGCCGACAACATTGCCCTTATTTGTGACAGCTGCCAAACGTGCCAAGCAGCACTGGACAGACTAGCACTGATTGTCAATCATTTTGCGTTATGCTTTGTACCCCCGAAATGCAGTCCTTCCCAAAGAGTAGCAGGAACCCATCCTGCGCTAATCCTCGGTCGAGCAGCTAGGAGTCAGAAATTTAAGTATCTGGGTAGCTATATTAGTGATTGTGGAATAGAAAACGTGGTCACAACCCTTTAGCAAAAGGTCGAGGCGCTTTTGCTAATCTCCACCACCTGCGGTGCTGGCGTGACATCACCATGCCCTACCCTGGAGGGCAGAGTTTACAACGAGGCTGTGCATTCTATCCTCCTGTACGGTTTAAAAATCTGGCACATGAAGTCGACAGACATAGAGGCTAGCTACGTTCCACCATCGCTGCTTTTGCAGCTCAAGTCGTCAGGTGTGAAAACCTCCTGAGCACTGAGCGTGCTCGGCTTCATGTATTCGGTGCAAGAAGAGCGAACCACTCCGCCCCATTACATTACGCACCAGGCTCCGACGGCTGGACTACGTGTCGCATATACCATCACACCGACTCCCACGAAGTGTATTGTTTGTGTGATTTGGATCCGGATGGAAGAAAAGGAGCAGAGCCCAAGCGATGATTTGATCAAGAAGTCTGAAAAGACTCATTTCCAACTTGGCGTCGTCGGACTGTCGAACCGGGATCCCAAGGACGATGAAGATGTTTGGTTGGACATCCCAGTTGATATGGCGAAGAGCCAATCTCAAGGAGCATGTGTTGTACCTCTGTCCCTTACCTTCGCACTTCGCTTCACGCTCCAATCACGACCTCACACACAATATTCGTATTTCGTATTTTAGTATCTGAACTTTTAAGACTGCGGCACAAAAGCTGAGGTATGCTTCTCATCCTCAGCTACAGTGTAGTGATGATGGATGGAAAACAGCGAGTGTCGATAGCAAATGTGTGAGAAGTGCCGGGTGTTTCTTAGTAGCACCGCTTTTAGACACAAAGGGTGCCGAAGTGCCAGTTGGTGTCTACCTAGAGCTCGCCAACGGTGGACCCAAAATGAGCACGTTCCCATAAGTTACAGGTGGCGTGGTTCCATCCTGGACTGTCGCTCATGCTAAAATACTTACGTCGACTCTGATCATGCCTTGGTACGCTGTGGTTCTTTCATGTACTTTACCGACAGACTTACCAAGCGCCGTTCTCGATGAGCAACTGAGAAGTTACCTCAGTCTTCGAACAGACAAGTCTACCAGGATGCCCTGCGTACTGAACTTTCGCTTTCTCGAACTAATGACACTGAACTTCAGTGAAATAGGATCCCAGCCGTCATGCACGACGTAGGTACCTCTGCTTGCGGCATTATCAATCGTTGCCGCATTAACCACTTAATAATCGAGAGGTCAGTGAACCAGTTAGAATCCAGAAAACGCACGCCAAGCTGCGACCACACTGTAACTACAAGTACCATTAGGCACAAACTAAAAGGCAACTTGTGGGCTGACATGGACGCTTTGTGGACCAATCAGGCTTGCGATATCAAGGAGGTTAAAGCAGTAAGCAATTACCGCAAGCTTTTCCAGCTGATCCGCACCACCGGTCCCAGGAAACAAGGCGTCAGTGAGATAATCAGAGACAGTTGGGTGCCCTGGTTCACAATAAGGAAGATCGCGTGGCTCGTTGGGCGAAGAACTTTCGATGGCAGTTTAGTTGGGCTTTGCTCTTGGATCTCTTCCTACTCGCGTCATAGGAGCGTAGCGCTTTCGGGTGAGCAATACCCAATTTCCATCTGCTCCAACTACGGTCTTCGTGATCGAAAGACCGAGGTTCACCCCAATGGGAATCGTGATCAACATTGAAATTGCGTGTCACAATCCATCCACAGAACGTGAATTTCAAAATGATCCCCAATATTATTCATGAATCGTTGTGCCAAGCGTTACGGGTAGCGATCAAAACTAACGTCCCAATGGTCCCGGGTTCGATGCTTGCTATCCCAATCTGATGAGATGAAATAACATCGAAACGCGTCACAGGAGTATCGCGTTTTCGGGCGGGCAACACAAAATTTTATCCACATCTATGTTGATGAAGTAACAAACAAAATACGGATATGAAACCACGAAAAAAGCATTAAGTTAAGTGTCTGGATCCATTAAAGCCGCTATTGCAGCCGTAACATACCCACGCAACAAAATGTGTCAAAGATGGCATCTGTATGGAAACACAGGTCTGCAAAATGTTTTGTTTAAACATTGTACCGACTCTGTAAGAACGATAACACTGGGTAACCAGTTCCAGAAGTGTCACGCAAAACAATGAATAAGAGCAAAATGGTCAAAGCGCGGACTTTCCAGTTTGCAAGCAAGCATCCATAATAGAGAACATATACTTCAGATGAGTGTCCCAGATGAAGGATTCTGAAAGTTGCAATGAGATCAATGCTTAGTCTCCTGTGTAGCAGCGTGTGAAGTTGCAGTTTATGGCATGTTTTGGTAGGATAAGCCACGAAACGTAGGAATTAGACGAATTGCCAAGTGTTTCATTTACCCCAGTTGTTTCATCTCACGCTTTGTGCTGGGATAGTAGGATGATGCACCGTACTCTAACAGCGGACGCACCATGGCGACGCATAGCCTTATAGCAGTTTTCTTCGACCAATGGAGCATCCGCTTTAGCGATCAAAGCCTGCGGAGGCTGAGGCAATAGACCTTGTGCGTATTGGCCGACGACTTTAAGCCCATATGGATAATGCTCCAGTCATCGTTCACCGATACTGGAAGTTCTATTGCGACAGCCCTTGCCGATGCTGTAATCCGGATTTTTCAGAATTCAACGGAAGACAGTTCGTTGATGCCCATGAAGATTTTATCAAGATCACGTTGCAGTACATCCTCATCGATAGGTGTCGATATTTCCCTCCATACCTTCAAGTCATGAGCAAATAGTGCGTAAGAAGTCAACCGTCCTGATAAACCACTGATATGAAACGAGGACAGCACTGGGCCAAGTACTGTGACATGTGGCACACCATTAGAGACAGCAAACTATGGTGGTTGCTAGTTATTATTCTGGACGCACCACTCTCGCTCGTGCAGAAAAGACTGGGTCCATTTCAATAAGTTCCCATGCACACAGTAATCAATGAGCTTAAATAGTGAGATAAAGTGATTCGCTCTAACAAATGCTTTGCTAAACTCGAGCAGCAAAGCATCAACACTTTTACCTTCGTAGAC